CTCCATGTCCCCAACCCTCCCCGGGTGTCCCCACGTGTCCCCTCCATGTCCTCAGCCCCCACGTCCCCCCATCGCCATGTCCCTGTCTTCCAGTTCTCCGTGTCCCCCATATCCCCGTTCTACCATCGTGTCCCCTCCACGTCCCCCAAATCCCCATCTCCATGACCCCAACATCCCCTCCATGTCCCCCAAATCCCCGTCTCCACAACCCCAACGTCCCCTCCACGTCCCCCAAATCCCCGTCTCCACAACCCCAATGTCCCCTACATGTCCCCACCTCTCCTCCTCATCGTCCTCGTCCCCCATGGCGTCATCGATGGCGTCATTCATCAGCTCCTCTTTCATGTCCATAATCTCTGCCTGCTTCTCAAACTCCATCATGATCTTCTGGATCTGGGGCAGCTTCAGCTGCGGGCGGGGACACACAGGAACACGACACGTGGCACACAGGGACACGGGGAAGTCCCTGCAGCCGTGTTGGTGGCATTTCATGGTGGCTACAGCCTTGGGTAGGTCCCCAAAACCATTTCGGGTGGTTTGTGGTGGCTATGGTTTTGGGGATGTACCCATGGCCACCTCGAGGGGTTTCTGGTGGCCGTGGCCTTGGGCACATCCCCTGAGGAAGCTCATGGTTGCCACAATCTTACGGACATCCTCACAAGCAGCTTGTGGTGGCCATGACCACAGGGACGTCCCCCTGAAGCAGCTGGTGATAGCCATGGTCTTGGGGACATCTTCACGGGCAGCCCAGGGCAACCTGTGGTGGCCACAGCCTTGGGGATCTCCCCTGGGGAAGCTTGTGGTGGCCACATTCTCAAGGACATCCCCGTGGCCACCCCAGGGCAGCTTATGGTGGTCACAGCTTTACGCATATCCCCACGGGCACCCACCTGCCGGTTCATAGTGGCCATGGCCTTGGTGACACCCTTCATGGCCTGGGCCATGGAGTTGTTGGACTTGAGGGTCTGGATCTTGAGGGACACAGCCTGGACGTTGGCCCTCATGGTGATGAACTTCTTCACGTAACGCCGCGTCCGCACCAAGTCCTTCGCCATAATCTTCACCGCATCCTGAAGGCCACAGGGGGAACATCGAGTGGCCACGAGGTCCCCCCAAGAAGGGGTCCCCCAAGAAGGGGTCCCCCAAGATCTCCAGGGATCCCTCTGTGTCCCTCAGGGCCCACCATGGTCCCCACCACCATCTCAACGGTCTCCTGGTCCCCTTGCACCCACTTTGGTCACGTGGGGACTTCCGTGGTCCCCCCCCATCCAATCCCCACCATGTCACCTCGTCCTCTCCATGCACCCATGTCCCAGCTGCATGGTCCCACCATGGTCCCCAGTCACCCCCCCAGCATTCAAGTCCCCTCCATGGTCCCCTGGTCACCACTATGGTCCACCACTGTCCCCCAGGTACCCTCCACGATCCCCTGGTCTCCCCCCCGAGTGTCCCACCACCCTCCATGTCCCCACCGTAGTCCCCTCCAAGAGTCCTGGATCCCTCCGTGTCCCCTGGTCCCCTCCATGTCCCCTAGTCCCGTCTACATCCCTGTGTCCCCACTGCAGTCCCTTGGTCCCCTCCGTGTCCTTGTGTCCCCTCTGCGTTCTCCACGTCCCCACCATGTCTCCCGTGGTTCCCTCCGTATTGTCCCATCCCTCCTGCAGTCTCCCGGTGCTCTCCACGTCCCCTCCACGTCCCCCCCACCCCGTGGTGTCCCCTCACCATCTGGCCCTGCTTCGCCATCTTCTTGATGTCGACAATGATCTTCTTCTCCTGCGCTTCGAGTTTCTGGCGCTCGCGGTCGAGTTCCCGCATGGCGCGGGCCAGCGCCCGCTGGTTCTGCCGCAACAACTCTTCTGGCGTTTTCCGGCGTCCGAACAGCAGGTCCATGGTGGCAGCGACGCCTGGGGAGATGGACGGGGGGACGTGGGACATCGGGGACACGGATGGGGCACAGTTGGGAGGGCACGGACACGGGGGGACACGGAAATGGGGGACACAGGGACATGGATATGGAGGATACGGGGGACATGGTGGGACACAGGGAGGCAATGGGAGATGGATATGGGACACATGGGGACATGGTGGGACACGGGGACGTGGTGGAAGATGGATATGGGGCACATGGGGACATGGTGGGACACGGGGACGAGGTGGGACACGGGGACGTTGATATGGAGGATATGGGGGGCACGGATGGGGTGATGTGGACATGGGGGATGCGGACATTATGGGGACACAGATATGGGGGACGTGGGTGACAGATATGGGGGACATGGGTGTTTGGGGCACATGGACATGGAGGGGACACGGGCATGGAAGGGACACGGGCATGGGGGATGTGAATATTGGGGTACACGGACATGGGGGACATGAGGGACATGGGGGGGGGACACGGACATGGGAGACATGGACACGAGGGACAGAGGCCAAAGACAAGGGGACCATGAACACGGTGGGGACATGGGGGGACACGGAGGTGGCAGGGACCCACAGGGGACATGGGGGGGA